AAAAAAAAAAAAGACAAAACAAAACTGAAAAAGCCCAACTTTGTTGTGAAAACTTTCGTGGTCGGGCGGCAGCGACCTCTCTCGGCCGTGCCCCCCACCCCGGTCATTCTACCCACTACCCCCCCCTTCCTTCCCCTCCTGTAGTTTGCAAAGTCACAGTATGAAATGTTATGAAATCGCCTCTTGGGAAGGAGGGAAACAGAAAGCAGGGCGTTTGTTTGGAAAAAACCGGCAGCGGCCTCTCAGATGTGCCTAAAAAGCTGCCTTTGACCCCCTGTTGCATTTCCAGGGAAGAGGCAAATCTGGGTTGAAAACCGTGAGTCGAAACCAAGACAAACAGAGCCGGCCTCCCTTCGCTTTTTGCCACTGATTTCAGGAGTGCGGGGTCGGTGCAGAGCTGGACTGGGAGCGGGCAGATGTGGGACCGGGGCAGCTCCGTGCTGAGCCACATCTGTCAGAGCCCCAGCTCTTACCCCGTGGAAGTGTCACTGACTGGGGTCAGCCCTCCTTCCATCCGGGGCTGAACACCGAGCCCTGGCCAGAGGTTTTAAATGCTTAGAAAATGAGGATTTGCTGTATTGTTTTGACTGCTGGAGGGATGAGAGCTTTACGAATGAACGGCTGGAGAATGCCTGCGTTCTCCAGCCGTTCTTGAGGGTTTACAGCTCAAAAATCCCTTAGAAAATATTGTAGGGCAGCCTTCTCTCTATCTATAGAAACAGAGAGTGAGGCAGAACCTGAGCTCCTGTTATTTTCTTCTAACGATGGGATTGCTGCTTTAAAGCCGTGTAACACAGACAGCAATTTCTGCCCCGTGAAACAAACCATCAAGCCATTCAAATATTCAGAGGGTGTCGAGCAATTTTCCAGGGGAATGGATTATTGCGTCGTTCCAGTAAGGGAAAAAAAAAAAAAAAAAAGCTCTGTCTGCAAGCAAAGCAGATCAAAGAACTGGGGATTCATTTCAGTCCCAATTTCCAATCCCCCTCCGTTCCGACTGAGTCAGGATTCGGAGGGGAAGTGGGGGTGAACCGGGTGGTTGTTATTGCGAAGGAAGAAGTGGGAATGAGAAGTGATTCTTCCCGATCCCGCTGAAAGAAAAAAAAAATGAAAATAAATGAGAATCTGTCAGAAGTCCTCATGATACTTTGTAGACATCGCGGGGAGGACCTTAAGTCTGCCCGATGAGACAGAAATAAACCTCGCAGAAACACGAAAATTCGAAAAAAAAAAAAGAAAAAAGAAAAAAAAACAAAACAACCAAGGCTGGAAAAGCTCATAAAAAAAAATAATAATAATAACGTCGCTCAGACGCGTTTTAAGAGAAACAGAATTACATCGAGCAAATTATATGTTTTCCAGGTTTGGTCGGGGTGTTGTGTTTTCCAAAGGGGAAAAGCTCCGTCCCGCAGCGCAGCTGACTGCTGCCATCCAGCGGTGCGTGCGCTCCGCGCTGCGCGGGGACGGCGCTGAGACAGCGGCGATCGACGGTTTTTTGGTTTTTTTTTTTCCTTTTTTTTTTTTTTCCTTTTTTTAAATCCGAATTTCTGCCTAAATTAGAACGGAACGTAAAGCTGTGCTGCTTTTATTTCGTTATTTATTTATTTGTTTTTGCTTTCGGCAGCCTGGTGTTAATTTGTAGGACTGTTGTTTTTATTTAGTAAACGCTCTGACTCTGCCCTCCAAGCCCCATTTCAAAGCCAGGTGGTAAAACTCGGTGTGTGCTTTAGCAGCGGGGCTGGATATCCTCCTAATGTGTTTGAATACCCCATTAAAGAGAACCTGTTGTTACAAAGTCCGTAGGTGAGCAGAACGGAGCTCTGACCTATAGGTGCATTTCTCAGTGTGTCTGTCCGTCCATGTATTTCTTGTGGTGGTTGAAGAACCATTTCATGCCCATTTTAGTGCTGCAAACTCCCAATGAAGGGCTTTTATGGGTTCGGACAGAGCCTAAAATGTTGTTTTCAGGTTTCTGAGAAGTTTGTAAAATCTAAATTTGGTGGAAAGTTGCCTGTGTTCTCGTAACCTCTCATTCCATTTTATAGCAGCATGGGAGTCTATAAACAGGAGCCCTGTGTGTTGAGTGCCTGTATTCTCTCCTAGATCTATTTTTAAACCATTCTTCTGTTTGGCAAAAAGTGACACTCGGTTTCCATGTTTACAGCAGGCATTGGCAAACCTCAGGAGTTCACAGTTTGCAGTTGGGTTAGATGGATGTCCGAAAGTTAGCGTCTGACCAGTCGGCTTCAGACTACAAATTTAGACTGCAAATGGAGTCCTCCCTGCATTTATTCTTATTTCTTTTTCAATCTGCTCTAGACCTTGTGTTCCCATTGCAGCAGGGCATGTCAGCCAAAAGGCACATGTACCCTTGAAGCATTTAGTTCTCCATACTGCTTGAAAACCCCCACGGTGCCTGTGGAGCTTCATACTTGAAGCAGGGAGCTGGGAGAGGAGTAAGAATTTGGGGTCTGTATTTTCTCCTTGCTGACGTGCTCCCTTTGGGCTGCCCACTGGGATCCTCTGAGGATCCATGGGTTCTGTGAGAAAGATGGGATTGCTGCTGGCAGCAGGCAGAGCGCAGGATAAGGACAATGCAGGACAGTGGGTCCCAAGGAAGATATCCCCTCCTTAAATCCATTTGGCTCTGTAAATACGGAGGTGCTCTCTCCTGGGTAGTGCACCCCATGCTGCACTTGTCCCACTGCAGCCAGGTGGGATGCTGGGATCCTTGCTTCCAACTGAGCTGCGTCCCTACAGCACAGAGACGGGGAGGGTCGGGTCGGTGACATATGGAGTGGGGACAGCGGGACGCCTCCCTGAGCCCCACGGGGATGGGGATTCCGTCAGCTGAGCGGTGCTCAGCCTCACTCCATTGCTTCAGCTGGGACGTGGCTGCTGCCTTCCTTTGAAAAATTCATGTGCCAAATCGCTTGGGGTCATAGGGAAGGCTGCAGCAGGCTCGGCTCCGCGCTTCCCAAGGGCTCTGCTCAGCTCCCAGCTACGTGCCCTCCTCGGTGGGAAACGTCAGGGGGGCTCTGCTGCGCTCCCCCCGTGCTGCGTTGTGGGTTGTTGTTTTTTTTTTTTTTTTCTGCAAAGACCAAAACAATGTGGAGACTTAAGCCAGGCTGGCTTTCAAGGGCAATCCTTTTAAACCCTCTTTTGAAGTACAAACTATAAAGTTCCCCGCAGTGCTCAAGAAAATATGCAGTTTTCCTGGTTCCAAACGCTGATAATAAACCCGTTCGGATAATGTATTGCATTTCCTAGAAACATTTGTTTGCTGGCAGGAAATTGGATCAGATTGAAAGTTAGCAGAGACTGCTCGATAGAGCGAGTGCAATCTGCTGGCGGAAGGGTACAATGGAAAAAACGACGGGGCTCGTGCTGGCGATGCTGCGTTTGATCTGTGCTGACAGTGCGCTAGGACTCTTCTCCATCTCTGCTCTGCTTATTATTAACCAAGCCACGTTTTGGCCCAGACGCCAACCAGAAGCTGCTAAATTAATAAAAACTGCGCTGTGACAGCTAAAGGACGCTCGGTGCCCCCTGATTGCGTGGCACGGGGAAAGCTGAGCTGGGTGCTGGCGTGCCCCTCAGTCCCCCACACCTCATTTCTTTGGCTGTGTCTCGGCACTGGAGGAACCTAGCATTCGTCTGTGGGATGGGGGGCAGCTGGCAGTATGCCCAGGCTGGGGGTGGGGGGGCAGGATGGAGCTTCCCCTGGGCGGGCAGTTTCGGAGTGCTGTGTGGGATGAGGTTATGGGGAAGAGAGACTTCAGGCATCCACTACTCTGGGGTGATGCAAAGGAGTCGGCACGGCGGGCGCTGGAGGGGTAGGAGAACAGGTGCGGGGGTGATGGGTGCCCTCTTCCAGATTATCAGTATGGGGGGAGAGGGTAGGGTGAGGGGAAGCCTCCGTGCAAAGAGGGATAGGAGAGGAAGGAATCTCCTCTTTGTGGAGGGTGAGGGAAGGATAGATGGATGGGTGGAAAGGGATTCCCTAGATGAAGGAGTGGATGGATGTGACAAGTTGCCATGTGCATGGCAGAAAGATGGAGAGATGGGGGGTTGTAGCTTCTCCCCTCTCTGTGGTGCAGGGGGCAGCTGTGGGGTCTCCCCTCTTCATGGGGTGGAGCTGGGGGTTCCCTCCCCACACAGCTGAACCGCTTGGCACTGGGAGAGCAGCACTGGCCCTGGGCTCCCTTCCAGGAATAGGCTTTCTCGGGGAGGTGCCAGCAGGGAAGGGCCGTTCCCTGAAATGCTGGGGCAGACCCACTGCCTTCCTGGAAGGCAGCAGCACTGACGGTCCCATGTGGCCACCCCCGAAATGGGCCCCGACCTTCCTCTCTGGGCACAGCAAGCCCCGGCGTGCAGCCTCCAGCACTGTCACTGGCCCACACCTCTGAGGTACTGGGCAGGAAAATTTTGGTGGGGGGACATTGGGGTGATGCTCTGAATGCAGCTGAGCCTGGGGGAGCATCCTAGGGTGGGGGGGCGTGGGGATGGAGAAGATAGTGCTTGCCCATGGTGGTCTTCTATGCTCCCCATCGCTTCTCTCTGCTCCTCATCATTGTCCCTTGCTCCTCAGAGCACCCTCCCTGGAGCGCAGTGTTGGGAGGGGCAGGGTTAATGCTGCTCTGCTAGAGAGGGGACAGAAGGATCCTGCATCCTACAGCCGGAATGCTTGGGATGCACCTGCCTGCACCAAGCACTGTGCTGTGGAGAGGGAATCTGGGAGGGTGCACAGGGTCTGGGTGTCTCTCCACCCCCCCCGACTGCTAGTGCTGTGAGTAAGGGAATTTGGCGACAGCAGCAGCTTCTCACGTGATGCTCACGGGCACAGAGTTCATCTCGCAGTTTGTTGGTTTACAGACAGGTCAGTCCCTGTATCTGTGACACCGGGGTGAGCCACCGGGAGCCCAGCCAAGGGCAGGATGTGACCCAGCAGCCCCAAATGGTGGGAATACAAATGTGTGCTGAGCTCCTTGCAGAGCCCGGGCTTTCAATTGTGACTGGCTGGTGGTGAGCAAGTACAGAAAGGTCAGAGCCTGCAGGATTTGGGAAATGAGTCACTTTTTGTGCGCAGGCTCAGAGCGGCAGGTCTTGAAGATTTGCATTTGATGGCTGCAGTGGGACTGTAACACCCCTCTAGGCTCTGCTTGACATCACACCTTAAATCATGCCCCTTTTTCCCATTCCAGCCTCCCTGGAGCAGGAGGGGAGCTCCACATCCACCTCACCTGCAGGTACAGGGCTGCACACGCTCTCTGTAAGTGCTGGTGGTCCCACTGCATCACTCCAGCTTGCAGAGTCAATCACTCACTAACTGCACATCTTCTTGTTCCTGCTGAGGACTTCCCCCTTTGTTGGTGCCAGGTTCATTGTGTTTGCTGGTTTTTAGTAAATGTGGAAGTAACAGTGTGAGTTAACTCCTGGGTTTCCTTGCTGTGCTGCCCCAGCCGTGCTTCCCGTGCAGCCAGCTGCTGGAGACAAAGCTTGAGGTTTGGGGAAGGCTTTTCCAGCAGCTGGAGGAAGGCATTTGTTTGGGTCCTCATCCGTCCCCGCCACCAACTTCCTACGCGATCTTGGCCAAGTCATTGTGGCTCTTGACATCCGCATCCTCCCTGCTCTGTCTGGCTGTCCTGTCCCATAGTGCTTCTCCTGCTGCTCAATAAGGGCGAGAGCGGCTCGCGAGGACCAAACTCAGCTGCTGTCCAGGTTTCTGAGAAGGGCAGCAGCAAGTGCTGGTGTGTAAGTCATACCTGTTAACGAGGTGCTGGGAGCGTGGCATTGGTCTTGGATGTGGCGTTGGCTGGGAATTTGATGTTGGTAGGGGAGAGCTGTCCCTGAAAGAAGTGGTGAGAAAATTCTCACTTGACTTCTTCCCCACCTGCCTTCAAGTTCCTGAGTCATGGAAATGAAAATCTCCTTGGCATACGCCCATGGTTTGGGCTAGAGGGTGTGGAAGAAACTATGATTGGATTCTCAAAGCCTGTGGTTGTGATAAGAACGTATTGTACCGGAAGAAACAAATGTTAACCTTACTGGAGAGTGCAGGGTTTGTTATCTCTAGCTTTTATCCCACTGATACTGTAGGGAAACAGCAAGCTTGTGCCTTGCCACAGCCAATTCATTATTATCTGCTAACACGGTGTTTGTTTTCTTGTGCTTTATTTACAGGTTTGAAAGAAACTTTTGGACTGTGAATTGAGGCATTGGGTATGTACATTTCAATTTTCCCCCTACCCTCCTTCCCTTTACAACGTTGAATTAAATGTTTCATTAGACCCAGCTGAGATTCCTTTTCAGGAAAGCAGCTGCTCTGTAGAAAATATATTCACATGAGAAAGGAGGAGATGGGGCTGGGAAAGAGGGCTCAGAGTGGAATTTGGTGCTGGAGGTGCACGCAGCAGCCCAAACTTTAGATGTGAGGCAATGCAGGCTCTCATTGGAGGCTGCTGGACATCTTTGAGATGGGTCAGTGGTGCTGTGCTGGGAGCAGGCTGTTGTTCCTCTACTCACCACATCCTTCCTTGCTGGGAGAGGCTGGGCTGCAGTGTGGGCAGCAGCCCAGCAGGTTGGATGAGCTCCACTTCTCACTGCTATCATTGATTCAATGGGAGAGAGGAGATAGCTCTTCTCTGGGCTGGCCGCCTGAGAGCAGGGAAGAAGTCTGGTGGATGATGGCTGGTGCTCCCCCGTGTGAGCAGATGTTGAAATCCTTCAGCATCTGTTGGGGGTTCTGTGGCTCACTTTGATTCCCATGGCCAAGCTTGGGTGAGGGAGCTGAAGGCTGAAGCTGTGCTGGGAGCTTCAGGAGATGAAGCAGAGGAGCAGTGGTGGTGGGAGGAGTGGGCTGGGGTGGGGCTGCCATGGGTGAGGCAGGAGCCTGTGAGATAATCCTCAGGAGGGTCCAGTTGTCTTTGCTTGCAGGATGTGACTGAGACACAGCAGCTCTTGCTGCTGCCCCAGGGGCCTCGCCAAGGGACCTGGGGGCATCCTTACAGGGCAGCAGGCTGCCCATAGGCATCCCGGAGCAGCAGTGGGCTCTTCACTGAGGTTTGGGTGCTCTCCAGGCTTTTTCTTCATTCCCATCTTTCTGCTTCAGACTCAAGATGGCCTCACCAGCAGACAGCTGCATCCAATTCACCCGCCATGCAAGTGATGTCCTCCTCAATCTCAACCGCCTTAGAAGCCGGGATATCCTGACCGACGTCGTCATCATTGTGAACCGGGAGCAGTTCAGAGCTCACAAAACAGTGCTGATGGCCTGCAGGTGAGTGGGAGCTCCCTCTGCTTTTAACCACTCCACAGGGGTGAGTGAGCCCTCTGTGACCGCTGTGTCTCCTGCTATTTTTGGAGCTGTTCCTTCTGGCTCTAGGGCTGTGGATTTTCAAGCCCAGTTGGGTCTGAAATCCTTTTCCAGGTCAAGGATTGCTTCCTAGTGACCTCTAATTAGCATCCCACCATTACCTCACCTCATTACTGCAGATGCCTTCCAGGGTTTCCTGCTGACAATCTAAAGATTTGGAGAAGCAAAGATTTGATTATTAAGACATCTGAAAAATGTTTTGCCAGCATTTTTGTTTTTCCTTTGGGTTGAAAGAGTGAGCATGGATGCTCCAAGAAGCTTCTGATAGAAGTGAGTCAGTGGGGGGTCAGGGGGGATGGTAAGGACAACAGAATAAGGGGAATTTCTAAAGCAGGGCGGTGGGGAGCTGTTGAGCAGGTGAGATGTAAAAGCAGGCTGTGCTGGTTGCTAAAAGTGCCGTGCAGAAGACGCTTACTAAGCTAGGAAACCAAGCTTGATAATAAGGGGGAAGCTCAGGGAATACTGTAATTGCCTCCTTCTCCTCCTCTCTTCCCATGCACAGGAGTCTGTGAGCTAAGGGATTTCAAGTAAGTTCTCCTTTCTTCTTCTTAATTGTCGTAATGATCGTCTTCCTCTGTCTCCTCTCTGCAGTGGCCTCTTCTACAGCATCTTTACTGACCAGCTCAAGTGCAACTTGAATGTCATCAACCTGGACCCTGAAATTAACCCTGAGGGGTTTTGCATCCTTTTGGACTTCATGTACACCTCCCGCCTGAACCTGAGGGAGAACAACATCATGGCTGTGATGGCCACGGCGCTGTACCTGCAAATGGAGCACGTGGTTGATACTTGCCGAAGGTTTGTCAAATCTAGGTGAGCACCACAAGTGGACTTTGGAGAACCTGGCACGGTGTGTTTGGGTGGGAGAGGGGAGGGTTGACAAAGTAGCTGCAAACTTATCTTTATGTGCTGAAAATGAATGCGTCTCTTCCTTCTTGCCTGATTCCAGTGAAGCTGAGATGGTGTCTGCTGTGAAGACCCCAAGGGAAGAGTTTTTGGCTGGACGGATGCTGAACCACCCAGAGGTGATGGCTTATCGAGGCAGAGATGTCTCAGAGAACAGCATGCCTCTCCAGAATGGGTCCCTCTGCAATGGGAGGGCCTTCGCACCTGGCTTATTCAACAGTTTGTCTGGATCCTCCATTTCCTACCCTGGGTACAGCCCTCTGCCTCTCAATGGCTTCCTCGTGGATGATGAGTTGCGGGAGATGAGGATGCCTCTCTCCGAACTCTCAAGGGTGAGTGCCTTCCCCAAGGAGAGGATCCCGTGTGACAGCTCCAGGACAATCCCCACAGAGTACATGAGAACCATCACCGACATCTCGGCCAACATGTGCCACGCCACCATCTATTCTCCAAAAGAAGGTGCTGCTGAAGAAGCCAGGAGCGACATGCACTACAGTGTAGCTTCTGGCCCCAAACCTGTTGTCCCCTCCATCCGGAACAATCCCTACTTCTCTTGTGACAAAGTGGCCAAAGAAGAGGAGCGGACCTCTTCAGAGGATGAGATCAGCCAGCACTTTGAGCCCACCAATACCCCCCTGGACCGCAAGGGCCTGATCAGCCCCCAGAGCCCCCAGAAGTCAGACTGTCAGCCCAACTCTCCCACTGAGTCCAGCAGCAGCAAGAATGCCCGCATCAGTCAGAACTCCAACTCTCTTTTCACCAAGAGCCCCACTGATCCCAAAGCCTGCAACTGGAAGAAGTACAAATTCATTGTCCTCAACTCTCTTAACCAGAGCACTAAACAAGACAGTGCTGACCAGAATGAGATGGGAACCCTCTCCCCTCGCACCTACATGCCCATGTCCACTTGCCAGCAGTCCATGGAGCCAGAGCATCTCAACGTGCAATCCCCTACCAAGATGAGCGTGAATGGAGAAGACTCCAATATCCCCCAGGCGAGCAGACTCAACAACATTGTTAACAGGTGAGAAGCTGGCCCCTGACAGACAGGACTCCCTGTGTTGTTGGTGAGAGTTTGGAGGTGTGTGACATAGCTGTAGTGTTGTGTTGGGGTGTCCAGCTGTGAGCAGGTGGAAACCTCTGCACTTGCTGAAGCACTGCCAGGGTGATTGGCTGGACTCCAGCTGTCCCCATGATAGCAGTGCCAGCTTGGCCTCATGGTGGAGTTGGGAACACAGGGTCAGGAATTCCTGATCTGCTTCAGCAGCTCTGGATGGTTTCTGGAGCATGAATTTGGCAAGCATGGTTTTCACCCAAATCGCTGCCTAGAGCTTGTGGTTGGCTGTAGGCATTGCAAGGCTGAATTAGCATGGAGCAGTGTGCTGTCCCCTGGACCTGGATGTTCCTAGAGAGCTTTGAGGTCATTTTACAATGGGCACCTGCAAGGTGAGGCTCAGGGACCTGTTGTTGATCAGGGCTATGCTGTGCATCTTAGCTCAGAAGTCTCCCCATAAACCGTGGGTGTTCCTTGTGTCTGGAATGATGCAAACAACAAGGACCTGGTAGCTCAAGCACAGCAAGAGCCTTCTCACAGCTGTGTGTGTTGCTGTCCTTCCATAGGTCCCGGGATGGGTCCCCGCGCAGCAGCGAGGGGCAGTCCCCTCTCTACATGCATTCGTCGAAGTGCAGCTCCTGCGGCTGCCAGTCCCCACAACACACTGAGATGTGCCTTCATACCTCTGGCTCAGCCTTTGGAGAGGAGATGGGGGAAACCCAGTCTGAGTACTCTGACTCCAGCTGCGGTGAGTCCTGCATCCCATTCCCCTTTTCAGCCAGCAGGCAAGGGGACACGTTCACCCAGTGCCCTTCATCCAAAGGGACTGCCAGACCTGTCTCTGGTGCTGGTGGATCCCGAAGTGCTCTATGGTGTTAACTGGCTGCCCAACTCTGTGCACGCGTGTGAGATGCACACATGTGGGCATTGCTTCTGTCCTCCCCTTCCCCAGCACCATCCAGATACCTTGTGTGGGGAGTTAGTCACCTGCTGCTAACCTGGCAGCTAAGGACAGGAAATAAATTGAACTCCACCCTGCCACTATCACACGAGAACAAGCTTGGCAGATGTAATGACCCTAATGGGGATTGGGCAAGGTAGTGTGTCTCATGCATCCGTCACGATACCTTCGTTATCAGGGAGCCAAATGTGCACATCTGGAGAAATGCAGATAATGAGCCTTGCAATCTTGTTGCAAAACCCCACAAGCCCGGAGACAATATCTGTCTGCCTGTAGCTCAGGGAGAGAGAATGCAGAATTGTCACTGTGGTGTGGGCAGAGATCTGTAGCAGTAACCCAGGTGTGATGCTCAAAGCTCCACGCAGCATTTAGGAGTTGGGCAGCCTTGTAACAGGGGACCTGCCTGCTTCTTCAGGAGATGGTGGTCTTTCCATGCTCATGGAAGACATCTGTACCGTAAAGGTTTAAGACCTCTAAAGGTGCTGGAGTTGCTCCAGAACCAAGCATCCTTCAGAAGATGCCTAATAATCGGGGTGCATAGAGCTGTGCATCACCCGTCTCACCGCTCTCCAATCTGCTCCTCAGAGAACGGAGCCTTCTTCTGCAATGAGTGTGACTGCCGGTTCTCCGAGGAGGCCTCACTCAAGAGACACTCTCTGCAAGTCCACAGCGACAAACCCTACAAGTGCGACCGCTGCCAGGCCTCCTTCCGCTACAAGGGGAACCTCGCCAGCCACAAAACCGTCCACACAGGTACGGCGTCTGCAGCTCCTCGAGGGCTGAGTTTGTTTGCTATAAAGCACTGGGTGTTTCTAAACGCTGGAAGCAGATGCGTGGCCTCTGGGTTACACAGACAAAAAAGGAAAATCAAAAAAATCATGTAGGGTTTTTTTTTTTTGCTTGTTGTTTTTCCTACATCCTAGAAATCCAGATCGTATCTAGCCTGGCAGAAAGTCTGCTGATAGGAAAATCTGTGAACAAATGTACCCTGTGAAATGGACCCTGCACAATGAAAGCCGGGAAAGGAAAGGGATGTTAGGGGGTTAGTCATTTGCTGACAAACCTGGGGATTTTTATTTCATGCTTTTATTAATGCCAACCACCAGCGCCCTGGCTGGAGTTGGAAGGTCCCACAGTCGCACTGGAGCTCCACATGGCTGCAGAGACAAGTGGGGTGACACAGGCACCAGGCTGGGTCTGACAGTGTGGGTTCAGAGGCCCTCTGACTGCCCCCAGGTCCAATTAATCCACCAGGCAGGAACCCATTTGCCCTTGAATGCTAAACAAAAGAAAAAGGCAGGAAGGGACAGGCGATGGCTTGTTCCGCTCCCCATTGAGCTCATCTTCAATCAGCCTGAAGAAACTAGTTAAAATCTTCTTGCAATTCCCCTCTTGCCATGTGAAAGCATCCAGGGCTGACAGCAGGAGTCGTGTCTGAAGAATGAATGGAGCTGGGTCATCAGGCATGCCTTGGCTTCCTGCTCTCTTGGCTTTTCTCACTCCTCCAAGGAGGAATGGGACGTGCTGGGGACTGTTAGGCAGCTGTGTGTGCCCTGCTCAGTGCTGTGGGGACAATCAGGGTGCCAGCCAGGAAAGAATGATGCTGCTAATCCTTGCTAGTAGAGCTGCCTGACTTTCTCTTTTGCCCTGGAGGCTGCAGCTCCCAACCCCCAAAAACACCAATAGCAGATGAACTCTGCTCCAGAGATGAGTGAGGCTGCTTCTGCCTGTTGTTCTCTTCCTAAAATACCTGTATGCTACAGACACCTCTAAAAGAGTCAGGCACATGGCAGGACTGTGCTTTGGGGCTCGCATGTGCATGGCACAGTGATATTTATCCCCTTGTCCTTTCTGTTGGACTCTACAGGAGAAAAGCCGTACCGCTGCAACATCTGTGGGGCGCAGTTCAACCGGCCAGCCAACCTGAAAACCCACACACGTATTCACTCCGGAGAGAAACCCTACAAGTGCGAGACCTGCGGGGCCAGATTTGTCCAGGTGGGTGTGAGCTCTGAGACCCACAGCACCCAGGGGTGGGACGTGGGCAGGATCCTGCTGAAGACCTGGGGCACATGGAGGGGGCTGTGGAGCTGTGCAGAGGATAAACTGGGGTTTGATGTTGGTGGAGACCAGCTTGTTGGCTCAGTGGGAAACCTAACTGGGGCTGCTCTCCCACAGGTGGCCCACCTCCGTGCTCACGTGCTCATTCACACTGGGGAGAAGCCATACCCCTGTGAGATCTGTGGCACACGTTTCCGGCACCTGCAGACCCTCAAAAGCCACCTTCGAATCCACACGGGCGAGAAACCGTATCATGTGAGTGACCAGCCTCCTCTCTTCAGGGATTGGGATGCTAACAAACCCAAGGGGTGGGAAGACACCAAATCGTTCACGTGGGCTTGCTGCAGCATTGGAAATGCTCTGATGTGTGGCCAGCACTGGGCGCATCAGAGCTGCTTTCCTATTCTTCCTTAGTTCTGGAAGAAGGTTACACTTCTCCAGATAGCCATGGCATAAATTACACCTCCTGCTGCGTGTGGGGATGGAGAGAGGAGCTGTGTGGCAGCATCCCGTGCCTTGCTGGGGTCAAGGCTTGGGGGTTCAGCAGCTTCCCTGCTGCTTCTCCCACTCCATCTGTGCAATGGGCGCAGTACAGGGGAGGACGGCTCTTTGCTTGGGCATGCTGTTTGTCCACTTCCAAGGGATGGATGTGTCCCACGATGTGATTTTGACACCTCGTGCTTTTGCTTTTTGCTCTGCAGTGTGAGAAGTGCAACCTGCACTTCCGCCACAAAAGCCAGCTGCGGCTGCACCTGCGGCAGAAGCACGGGGCCATCACAAACACCAAGGTGCAGTACCGCATCTCGGCCAACGAGGTGCCTCCAGAGCTCCCCAAGGCTTGCTGAAGGCCAAGGATTTCCCAGGAGGAGGTCAGAGGGAAGCTGTCCAAAGGATACTTGCAACACTTTAATGGAGAGAAAAAAAAATATATATATATATATATAAAGGAAAAAAAAAAACAAATTCATCACATGATGGAGTGCCTCTAAACCCATAGTGCAGATAGGTGGAAAACATTAGAAACAAACTAAAAAAAAAGCATAAAAAAAATAAAAATAAAAAAAAGAACAAACACGGGTTTTATTTTTCCCAGTTATGTGAAACAAAAAAAAAAAAAAAGAAAGAGAAAATTATTCAGATCTTATTGTACATAGAACATAAAAATGAAAAATAGTCATTTTAAATGTCTGTGCAGTGGAGTGTTGATAAACTCTGGAGTCTAACCTTCACAGCCTTTGCCGTTTGAAGATGAGGAATGTAATGTCGATTTATGGGAACAGATTTTTTCTTTTGTATGCAAAATGTGTGTTCTTTTAAAGAGAAAGTATGCTATTAAAGAGAGGGCTTTAACTTTTTTAACCAAAGGTGAAGGAATCTATGGCAGAGTTGTAAATATATATAGATATAAATATATAAATATATATATAAAATAAATATATATAGACCTTTAAAAAAGCTATATTAAAAATATATAAAATGCATTAAAGGCTCAGTTGGACTCTGCAGGCAGAAGCCACTCTGAGAATCTTTATTATGATAGAGCACTTAACGAGATATTTTAAAGTATTGCATCTGTACAAGTAAGAAAATATTTTGTCTAAATGCATCAGTGTATTTGTATTTTTTTGCAAGTGAAGGTTTACAATTTACAAAAAAGTGTGTATTAAACCAACAAAGCTGCAGAAGGAATTTAAAATAATAATAAAATGTAACTTTTTTGTTCTAGTTCTCAGTCTGTATATATGTAAAATGTGGTTTCGCACGGTGCCTTTCTTTTCAATGGAAGTTTTCAATGTATGGACTATATTGAGCTCAGTTTCTTCTTCAAGGTACAGCCTGATGTTGCAGAAGGAGTTTTGGTGGAACTCTCTTGTTGGGGAATGTTGTTATTTTGTTTGTTTTTGTTTGTTTGTTTTGGATTATATATATATTTTTTTTTTCAGTCTTATTTTACATGCTTGTGTTATAAACAATCTCGGGAGACAGGGTTTGGGCTGTGTCTAAACTGCATTAATGCGTTCTGTAAAATATAGCTGTACAAATAAAAGAATAAAATGAAGAAAAGTGAAGCGCCATGCAGTGAGAGGTCTGGTTTTTTGCCTGCCTTCCTCCTGGAGCATCCTGAAGCACAGAATGGAAGGGGCTGAGCCCCTGTGCTGCCCCCAGCTGCGGCTTGGTGGACCTGGGGATTCCTCTCAGCAGGGAGAGAGCAGCCATGGGTTCCCTCATTATGGGGAGAGACCCCAAATGCCTCCTGCTATGTGCTCACGGGTTGCAGCAAAGCAAGGGGAGCTCAGTGAGGGCACCTCTGTGTGACACGGGCAGCACTGCTGTGGGACTGGGCTGTCCTCGTTCGTTTGTGGCTAATTGGAGGTGACTCACTGCGGTGGGTCTCAAAGCACCAGCAGGAAGAGGAGGCTGTGGGATGAGATCCTGCTGCCCACAAATCCAGGCACGCTGTTGTGCCCACCGGCCACGTTCAGGGTCCTCCCTGCTGTCAGGAGCTGGCTTTGAGGCTTCAGCTTTTCTTGGTCCTTGCATTTGGCACTTTTGGAAGCTGCTGGCTGTGCTGACAGCCCCCGCCACCCCAGACAAGCAGGCCTTATCCCTGTGACCTCCTTTTCCCATTGTGTTTGCAAAACAAATTCTATTTTCCTGGATCATGGCTGTGTTTCCTCCCCCCGTCAGGATATCATTTTTTTAACAATGATGTCATGCCTTATCCAGGCAGTCCAGCTGAAGTGACAGCAACCTCTGCCTTTTGTCCCCAGGTAGAGGTGAGGGAACACTCAGCTCTCCACTACACATATTTCAAGCCTGTAAATGATGAACTGGTTGGGCCAGCCCATTGAAAACCCAGCTCCAGAGAAAGGGGTTGAGCCATTCCAGTCCTCTAAAGGACAACAGCAAGCTGATAAACTGACCACTTTCCATGGAGTTTCCTAGAGTATGTCTGAACAGGTCTTTCAATACCCATCTCACTGCCATTCCACACAAAGACATCCCAAAAGTTGGGAATGTGGCCATGTTTTCTTTCAGATTTCATCTGCAACAGAAAGCACATCAGTGAGCTCACAGCTCCAGCCTCGTTTTACTTCTCATATGGGACCACAACCAGAGAAATGGGTCAGGTTCCCACCAGCTGAGCATTTTGGGGGTTGCCTCTCCATTCCTTGGTGCTGCAGAACTCATGCTGAAGTACAGAATATTTAAATGCAGGCACCGCACCTGGGACTTTCATAATGTAGCCGCTGACCTCAGTGTACAGGGGGACCAAAGGATGCTATCTGCACTTCATTTCTGCTGGCAGCTCTGAGGGCTGTGCCCGTCAGCGCCTTGCAGGATGGTTTTGAGGCACTTGGCTGCATTCTGGCGGATGCCCACGAGAGGGCAGGCGAGGATGGAGTTTAGGGAGTGCTAGGAACGAATGAGCTAAAAATTGTCGTTTAAAAAGAAGAAGAAAGAATCCAGCCTGCACCGTGACATCTGTTGCTCTAGGGAAAAATCTTAAAATCTTGCACCTGAGGAAGAAATGCTACTGGAAGAGACCTTGATTGGTTGGCACAGGTGAACCTCATGAAATTCTACCAGGGCAAGTGTGAAGTGCTGCAGCTGGGTTGGAGCAATCTCAAGCACAAATACAGGCTGAGTGATGGGATTTGGAGCAGCTGGGGGGGGGGCTTGAGGGTCAAAAAAACCCCAAATCACCACAACCTTAATGTGATCTAGCAGTGTGTGCCTGCTAAATCATTTCTGCTGTTCAAAAAGCCAGCTATGTCTTGAGTGATGTTGAAGCTAGCAGGTCAAGGAGATGATTGTCTTTTTCTGCTCTCTCCTTGTGAGACCCCACCTGTAGTGCTGTGTTGAGCTCTGGGGTCCCAGCATAAGAAGGACACCAAGCTGCTGTACCAGGTTCAGAAGAGCACAGAGATACTCAGAGAGCTCAGTATCTCTCCTATGAAGAAAGATTGAGGGAACTGGGCTTGTTCAGCCTGAAGAGACCTTATTATGGCTTTTCAGTACTTAAAGAGGCCTACAGGAAAAATGGGGAGAAACTCCTCGTCAGGGGATGTAGTGACAGGACAGGGGGTGATGGCTTTAAACTAAAAGATAGGTGATTTAGGTGAGATGTTAGGAGGAAATCTTTCACTCAGAGGTGGTGAGACCCTGGCACGGCTACCCAGAGAAGCTGTGAATGCCCCATCCCTGGAGGTGCTCTAAGCCAGGCTGGATGGGGCCCTGAGCAGCCTGAGCTGGTGGGGGGCAACCACCAGAAAGTTGGGATTAGGGTTAGGGTTTAAGGTCCTTTCCACTTGAAAATATTCTGTGAAAGTTTGCAGGCAGAAGGAAGCTGATGTCCTGCAGTTTGTCTCTGGCCTCACTTGGATCTGCTGCACAGAAAGACCAGCTGCAGCCCACAGTGGCCAGGAGCAACCAGAAGAATTTCACAGCTCTGGCTCCCAGATCACAGCTTGGCACTACAGTGTGGCTGACTGCTGCAATGTAAGAAAAACGTTTTGTCCCTGCTGTCACGGCAATAATGTGTGGTAAAACTGTTCTGCTCTTGAAAGCAGAGGAAAGAGAGCTTGGAGAACATTTTGCAGGAGACAGCTGGGGTGGTAAGGTGCAATGAGAGCTGTTCCTACAGGCATGGTGACAGCAGAGGGCACACTGTGCAGGCACAGCACTGAGCGTGCAGCCTGTGCACTCAGCTCAGGCACTGCTGGACTGCTCTGGATTTATGGAGCACGTTGGAGGAGAGCTGGGGTAAGGAAGCAGTCATAGGAATTCAATGCAATTCAATCATCTGCAGAGCTACATGCCCCGCAGTGCTACTGCAGAAAGAAAGGAATCGAGTCACCCTCGCCACAGACTAAAAGTGATGGATTTATCTGGCTGGGGAATGAGTGGGGGAAACAAAATCTGAACATGCTGATCCCACAGAGGAGTGGGAAGTGACAGATCTGCACCTTGCTCCTCTTCATTTAAACCAGAGTCCCGAGGACATCTGACTGCCTGCATTTCCCATTGCCCAGGAGGAACAGGAGACACTGCAAAGGTGAACAGGGTAGATGGGCTCCCTTTTTTCTGACCCTCTCTGTTGATTTCCTTCAGGTCAGCACAAGAGGGTTTTCTGGACCAGAGCACATGTTTTCACATTTGGTTAAACTGAATTTTTTCTTTCAGTTCTTACTCTGAAATGGAATGCTGAAACTCTCCTGCTGAAGAACACCAGAATGATTCTTCAGAATTCTGCCTGAGAGCACCAAGAATTTTGATCCTTTCAACATTTTATCCAGGAACAAAGTTCAAATCTAATAGAAGCTCCATCTCAGACCATTAGAACAAACACAGATGACTACAGATGCTCTGGCTCTGCTCTTACCTTTACAAGCTCTGCAACCTCAGCTGAATCCAGGAGAGAAGAAATGGACAAGGTGGGCATCAGAGTCTTCCTGAGGCTGCTCTGGCTCAGGGTCCAAGCCATCTCCTGATGGGATGCAGGACCAGAGGCAGCAAAGGAGCTTCTGCTTCGCCCCAGTGCTGTAGAATGGCAGTCAGAGCCAACCTGTTCCTCCAGATCTTGTCTCTGTGTGGCAGGCAGGGACACCATCAAAATCAGGGATCCTCAGGGGGACCAAGGGTTTCTGCTTGTCTGGGACTAGGCTGCAGGGAGCATTTCTGCAACCACAGCAGCACTGCTCCTAGCCTGAAGCCCCACTGAATGTTACTACTTTGCAGAAGGATGCCTTGCATCCTAATTCCTTGTGTACAGATAACAAAATGAAATGTGAAAGAGAGGAATAACCTTTTGTTGGGGCTGGACTCCTGCACACAGAGGTGCTGCAGATGGTGAGCTGAGAAGCTGGGATTTGGACAGGGCATTAAGAATGGCTTCTGAAAGCTCCGTATGGACTAGAGTGTTATCTCACACCTTTTACACCAGTACAACCACACTGGCCATGAAAGACTTGGGGGTCACTTGCTGCTAGTGGCACAGCTATGAGAAGTAGGGGATTTGCTGCTGAGGGAAGCCACCCCTAGAAAACGTCTCTTGAAAGCAACTGAGAGGGTCAGGATAGGGGTGGTGTCCTGACATCTGCTGTCTTGGACACCTGCCATGGTCAGGGCTGGCCCTGCTCCTTTAACTGCAGGAAGGAGGAGTGACATGTTCAGGTCCAGCTGCTAGTATGGTGATGTGAGAGGTCTGAGAGTCATGGCTCTTGAAGCTGGTCTGCTCTTTTTTTGGTCCAAATCAATCCAGTTGCATTCTTTTGCACCAAAATTTGGGGAGGATGAAGTGGCTGAAATGACGTGTGGCTGTAGATGCCTGCCCAGGGGAAGGGATGCACCCTGCAGGATGGGCAGTTTCTGCTCAGCCTGGAGGTCTGCCTGGTTGGGAACCAGCAACCTGCACCAATTTCTCTTGCTGTGCTGTAAAGCAGAGCAGGAACTTCTCCATATGAACTCTTTGTTCCCAGCTCAGCAACGCTATGGTCGGGGAGTGTGGTGTTGGGGGAGCGTTAATTCAGTACTAACTGAAATAATCCTTCTGGAGGTTTCTGGAGCAGTAGCTCGCTCTTTGTTCCCACAAGCCTTTGACTTTCTGCTGCTGGGAATGGGAGGAGGGGTCCCTTGACACCACGTGTCTAAGTAGTAGCGGGGCCCTTCGCAATTTTCTCTGCTCCTGACACCTGGGACAGTGCTGACGTGGACCATCCTTCCGGGTGTAGGGAGCCGTCCTTCCAGCAGTTTTGCCCGCTGTGGGCTGCAGCAGCCCGCTGGGGATGGGCAGGGAGAGGGGGGGGGAGACCAACAGGATGGAAGCGTTCCCACTGAAGTTTTAGAGGCTTTGAACCCGACACCGGGGGGGTTCCCTGCGGGCTCAGCAGGAACCTGCACGGCCAAGACATCGCTCGTGCCCTCTTTCCTGAGCTGCGGAGATGTCGCAGAGCCGGGCTCTGTGCGGCCGGCTGAGAGCAGAGCTGCCCCGACGGCGGCCGGAGCAGGTCGGGGACTTTGTTCGGAGAGCTCCGCGGGAACCGGGGAGGCAGAAAGAGCCCCTGGGGGTAGCTCTGCATCCCTCGATCCATGCTGGAACCGGAGGCAAATCCGCCCTTAAGGGAAGGATTTGCAGCTTCGCCGCTGTGCGGTCGTTTGTTACCCGGCGGGGCGGGAGAGCCGAGCTACGAGAGGAGCTTCGGCACCGGGGCCGTGGGGAGGGCGGTGCACAGCCAGGACCCCTCACCGCCCCCTATGGGGGCTTTGAAGCTCGGGGAGGAGAGAACGGATGAGTAGAGTCGAGGATGGGATAAGCAGCGGTTTGGGGAGAAAAACCCTCCGGAGAACGGGCCGGGGGGAGGAACGCAACCGAGGGGAGCATCGCAGGTGTCTGGCCGGCCCCGGGCAGAGCGGAGCATCCCCGGCCGCGGCCCTCCTCCCCCCCGGGCCGGGCAGAGACCCACCCCCGGCGGCGTGGGGCGAGGGGGGCGCCCCCGCCTTGACGTCAGGAGAAGGGTTTAAAAAGGCGACGGGAGCCGAGGAGATCCCCAACGCCGGAGCCGAGCCGCAGCGGAGCCGTCAGCTCTTCCCCGCCGCCTCCTGCCCGAGCCCGACCCGCCGGCGAGATGCTGTCGTGCCGCCTGCAGTGCGCCCTGGCCCTTCTCTCCATCGCCCTGGCCGTCGGCACCGTCTCGGCCGCCCCCTCGGACCCGCGGCTCCGGCAGTTCCTGCAGAAGTCCCTGGCTGCCGCCGCCGGGAAGCAGGTGAGAGCCCCGCGACGGGACGGACACCCCGCTGGAGCCCCCGGCACCCTCGCTGCAGGTCCCCACTCCCTCTCCACGTAGTCCGGCTTCTCCTCCTGCTTCCCCCTGCAGACCCTCCTTTTCCCTCTGACATCCCGTAGCAGACTCCTGGGTTCCCCGTTGCAAACCCCTCTCGTTTCCCTCTGGACACCCCGGTGCTATCCGTGCAGATTCCTCACCAGAGCTCCTCAGTGTCCCCACTCCAGACCCCGGGTTGCTTGCTGCAGAGCCCGGTTCCCTGATAGCTCCCCGGTTCCCTGCCAGGGCTGAGTTTTATGACTAGGGGCAGGAAGGCAAGACCACCCTCCCAGTACATCCTGCTGGGGGGCAAGGAGCAGCTGCTGCCAAGACAGAGCAGAGCCCCTGGGGAAGCTTTCCAGGGCATTGAACCAAGGTTGTGCTGCAGGAGAATGTCTTCTGCTACGCAAAGGAACAGTAGGACTTGGCGGGATGAGAGAGAAAATCATCTGTGATGAGTGCCCCCACTCAGCTTCCCCTGTGAGCTTTTCCCTTGCTGCACAGCATCCCTGCTGAGTCTGTCTTCAGTGCCAGACCAGCAGTGAGAAAAGGGGTTGTGGGGTGGTGCTGGGATGAGCTCCTTTCTGGCACAGCCAGGATAGGGATCTCCTCACTGCACCTGATAGGTATCAGCTGCACAGGTAGGTATCAGCGCTCTGCTCTATTCTGTAGCTACAGCTGCTCTAAGGCAGCTGCTGAGCTGAGCTCCTGCAGAGCCCAGTACGTTCCTGGGCACAAAGGAGGTAAGTCCCCAATAGTCAAGGAGTAACTGTGATCTCTCTCCTGCTTTCTCCTCTCCCCAAGGAACTGGCCAAGTACTTTTTGGCAGAACTGCTCTCAGAGCCAAGCCAGACAGAAAATGAAGCTCTGGAGTCGGAGGACTTGTCCCGAGGGGCCGAGCAGGACGAAGTGAGACTGGAGCTGGAGCGCTCGGCCAACTCAAACCCTGCGCTGGCTCCCCGGGAACGCAAAGCGGGCTGCAAGAACTTCTTCTGGAAAACTTTCACATCCTGTTAGCTTTTGCAACCCACCTGTCCTCCCCATCCACCCCTGCCTTCTTCCTATTCCCCCGCCCTGAGCAGAACCTTCACCACGAGAGGCGAAGACTGTAAATACACGGTCCACGGTTATGGTGAAAATAAACACACAAGGAATATTTGAGTTTGATTTCGAGTTGTTTTAATAAAACTTTCAGTTCCAATTGTACACAGTTTGCTTGAGTTGTGATTTCTGACTAGTTCTTTAATGACATGCACTCTGCGATTCTTTCAGATGTACTATTTTTAATTCTTTGTTGCAATAAATTTTATGTTTCGAACAGTGATGCTGAGACTGGCTGGTCACTCAGAAAAGCTAAGTCCCTTCGCTCAGCCTTCTTGTCTTGGAAACACTGCCTGTCTCAGGGCAAAACCAGTGAGCAGCAGCTCAGTCTGCACACACAAATGCACGGGCACAATTTCTCTAAGTGAAATTTTTTGCTGCGGTCTTTCTGTGGTACCCAGATATTCCACAGCATTTTAGACATCAGCTCCCTGTAATTGGGGTTGAGTCAAATCCACAGCGCTGCTGGTTTGGCTGACCTAGAGGATTTACACCCAATAGCACAGTAAATCACAGCTGCGCATTTGCAGAGATGGGATTGTAAAAGAGGATCACAGCACAGGCTCACCCATGCATACCTTATTCCCTCCTCACTCACAAACACTGAAATGTTTTCTTACCTTTATTCTTTCCACCATCACCAACAAAATGCAGCTGATATTCCCTTGGAAAGTTCTCCTTTGTTCCACTGCATCCCCGTAAAGGCGCAATATTAAGCCTGCACTATCAGTATCTCTTCATCTGTAAAGTGGTACAGTGGTTTTCTACCCATTATGAATTAAAGGCGACATTAAAAGTGTCAGGTGAGCAGGAGATAGCATCAAGAAAAAGACATCTCAATGGAAGAGAATTTCTTTGTGCTTTTCCAGCGTATCTTCCTAGACACACTGGTTTCTGACATGCAATCGTTGGAGAGCTGGAGATGTGGGGAACAAGTGTCACTTCGATGAGAAATTCATCACTAGGGAGTAAAGATAACAAATATTTTGCAGACGTCATATCTGAAAGAAAGGTGCAAAATGAGGGGGGTGCAGAGCAGATCATGGGCACAAGCCTGACCCCCATGGAGGAGGATTTCCCAGTGGAGAAGGTGTTGAGTCCCCCTGGTCTGTGCTGGAGGCAGCTCAGATGGTCACAGCCACTGTGCCGGCTCTGCACCTCCTCCCCCCACATGCACCTCGTTATATCTGAGCTGAGAGCTTTGCAGGCCCAGAGGGAGAGGTGCAACAGGGATGCTCCCAGCACTTGGGGGAACTGAAGAAGGAACCCCATCTGCCAGCATCCAGGGCATACTTTGTTACCTCTCTGCTCTCTGATGGGTTCAGCTGGGCAGGGTGCAGCATTGACTCGCCCCGGGGTGGGGACAAATGGTGGCAGCTGTGCAAAAGGCAACCAAAGAGATTAGGGGAGCTCAGGTGGTGCTGATCAATTCCCAGCCCTAAAAGCAGCCGGGGAGAATGGGGCTCTTATTGAATGCATGGAGGAAGATGGAGGGGAGAATGCTAGCCCTAGGTCTTCATTGGATTCCTTGGCTGCTGCACTTCCTAAAGGGAGCAGGTTTCTGGGGTCTCTGCAAAGCAGAGATCTCCTCATCCCTGGATATTCACTGATGTCTTGACTGAGGATCCACTTAGCCTTCAAAAAGCAGCAGTTCTGTGTTGAGGTGGCTTCAGGAGTGCAGGAATAGGAAGGAGGTGGTGGGACTAGGGCTTGAACATATTTAAATAGATTCCTTTTTGCTTGAGGTTTTTTCTTGGTTGCTGGGCTTGGGCAGTGCTTTTGAGAAGAGCTTAATCCTGCCAGTTGCTGGAATGGAACCCATCACCAACAAGGATACAGGTGATCCAGGAACTAGATGAAGTGATTTACTTTCTGCACCAGCCTGTTTCAGCACTACAGCACTAGCAGTCCTGGGCACTGTGAGCTGTGCAAATAGATGCCTAGAGATAGCCTTGCTTTGCTGAGCTAAAAAGACAAGAAAGGCTTATTGCTTCCCTTTGATAGGTGAGAATTATGGGCTAAGGAAATGAAGTGGCTGTATGTAATCCCTTGTCACACAGCCACCAAGCAGTGCCCTGGACTGGGAAGGTTCTTGCTGGGTGAGGCTGAATGTGGGATGACAGCACATGGTGGGGTCAGCCTCCAGGGGCTGGAGCTGCCGAAGTGGGGGCAGCCTTTGAGAGAGGATTTTTAGCCTCAACTCCATAGAGAAGCAGCCTCTGCACTGGCCTCAGGGAGGCTGAGGGCTGTGATGCCCCATGCTCAGCTGATTCATCTCCCCTCTTGCACTCAGTGACGTGGGCAGACCCAGAGCAGTCCTCACTGGAGATTCATCTCAGGTTCTGCAGGGGAATGTCAATGAGAAGCCTCATAAAAGGGTGTGAAACTGGATGCCAGATTTCCAACATCTGACAAAGAAACCCACCTGGATGGGGCCCTCTCCCTCACCACCCCAGCTGCAAGTAGGTGCTATACTGTGCTGCGGGAGGGAATGCTCCTGTCCTCTGCCCTGACGCAGCCAGGCCTGCAGAGATGCTCCCAGCCCTCTTGTGCCTATCCCTCAGCTCTTGTTAGGCTGCATCCCCTGGGTGTGGAGCAGAGTCAGAGAATCTCTCCCAGCCCCATGCTCAGCTCAGTGCTATGGTGCCCTAAGGTACAGCATTTCGTCCCTTATACAGTTCAGGGTTCTGCCTTCAAGGGAAAGATTGTTCTTCCCTTTAGGCTGGGCCTTAAGGAAGAAAAGGATCCTCCTAGAAACTGGCTGTTGTGTTTGCAAGGCTCTTTCCTCTGGCAATTAGGTTGTTGTTTATCATCTGCGTGAATTCCTTACTCAGTTGTTCAAAACCTCTCAGCAGGAATGGTGGGGGCAGAGGGAGGAGGGCTATGCCCAGTTAAAGGCTCAGGGGACCCCATGTTACATCTTTGTGGCACTTGGGCACAATGTATAGCAATCCCCATTTCCAGGCTACTGGGAGGCTGCATCTTCCTTAGCCTGAATAACTCACTCTTAAGGGACAGTGAGGGCTGGAGGTCACGCTGCTGGCTCGGACCTTCCTGCAGAAGAGCAGGGTCTGCTGTGGCTCTTTAAGGAGGCAGCCTGGGCATGGCACTGACCTCATGAGTTCCATCGCTCGTGGTTGGCTGCTCTGGGCACCCGGCTGTTGGTTGTCCATTGGTGATGGTTAGAGCACCCCACAATCAACTCCTGCTCAGGCACATGGACAGATTAGGAGCAACCGACATGGATGGACTAGAGCTTTCACTAAAGGAATGCAAGGAAAGGGCAGCAGCTGTACTCCCTGACACCTGTATTCAATGCTTAGAAAGCCGTAACTGGGAAGAGCAGGTGTGCAGCATGGACACCATTCAGAAGGCAAGTAGTGGTGGATGCCCTAGCACTCACCAGCAGGCAGAGGGAGGGGGAGGAGAGGAATCAGGAGGGAAAATGGAAGGGGGGGGCATTGGTGTGGTTCTCTGTCAGGGAGTGCTTCGATGTTACAGAGCTTAATGCTGGGAATGACAAGGTCAAATCTTTATGGTATGTGTGTCCAACCTTTTGGCTTCCCTGGCTTGCACTGAGCGGAGAGGAACTGTCTTGGGCCACCTAGGTCACTCTGAAACTAATGCCTCCTATTTATTTCCACGGAAACTACCACAGAAACAAAGAGCGTGGTGACACTGTTTGATGGAGCAAATCCTCAGCTACAGAACCCTATTTTTCAACATAGTCCCCACCATTAGTTGTGCATTTTTTCCAGCAATGAACAAGAGCCTGCATGCCGCACTGCATGTACAAATCTGTACCACTGGAAGTGACTTTCTGTCACCACTGCTGAAACTTTGTCAGACTGTCCCTCTGCTGCCATCTTTTCCATGGCAACAAAATGTTGGTGGGAAGGTTCAACCTCAACTACCACACCACCAATATCTACCTCTGACATCATGGGACAACATAATATAATAGGAGGCATTACTTTTGGAGCAGCTTTCCTATGTAGTATTATAATATTGTTAAGGAAGTAACAAAATTTATTTTATGTTTAGTACTTTTAATTAAAAAATTAAAAAAGAAGGCAACAAAAACATAACTAGTAGGGTGTGTGACCTTTTTTTAGTGGAACTGATGCATCAGCCTGGTTCTATGGCAGTGGCTGCAATTCCTAATGAGTTCTCAAGGTACTCGTCAGAGATTTTTTGATGAAATTCTATTCTTCTTGTGCTTCATCCTTAACAAAAATTGTTCACTGATGTACCTACTGCCAAAAAAAAAGTGGTGCCATGAATAAGATGTGACTGTGAAGTGAGGGATATTTTTTTTCTGGTAAGAGAGGTCTCAAAGTCTGGTAAGGAGTCATGATCAGATTTTTGAGTTGAATATCTGATTGAAGCTCTGTACATTCAATTTGAAAATTTGCAGATAATGTATTTATGTTGGCCGAAAATAGAGTTGCAAATTTACCAAAAAAAGATTGGGTTTTTTTGAGCAATCTCATAACCTATTTTCAAATTCCTTTATCAAAATGGGAAGTAAGGCTGTATATTCTTCTCTTTTCACAGGGCTGTTCAGCAAGTGTATTAAAATACATACAGTTATTTCCCATATTTTGAATTATGCCCTTGCCATGTTGTGGTTTCAGCCCAGACAGCATTAATAGGGGAAGGTCATGGAGCAGATCATTTTGAGTATGATTATGCAGTATGTGTGGAACAGCCAGGGCACCAGGCCCAGCCAACAGGGGTTCATGAAAGGCAAGTCATGCTTGACCAACCTGATCATCTTGACCAAGTGACTTACCTAGTGGGTGAGGGAAAAGCTGTGGATGTGATTTGCCTTTGACTCTGTTTCCCACAGCATTCTCCTGGAGAAGCTGGCAGCCCATGGCTTGGACAGGTCTACTTTGCTGGGTAAAAAGCTGGCAGGTCCAGAGAGTGGTGGTGAATGGAGTTAAATCCAGCTGGTGGCTGATCGCTTGTGGTGGTGTTCCTCGGGGGTCAGTACTGGGGCCAGCCTTGTTTATCATCTTTATTGATGATCTGGATGAGGGGATTGAGTGCATCCTCAGTAGGTCTGCAGATGACTCCAAGTCGTCATCTGGGAGGAACTGTTGATCTGCCTGAGGGTAGGAAGGCCCTCCAGAGGGATCTGTATAGGCTTCATCAATGGATTGAGGTCAATGGGATGATCTTCAACAAGACCAAGTGTAGGGTTCTGCATTTTGGTCATAACAACTCCATGCATCACTAAGGGCATCACAGGGGCAGAGTGACTGGAAAGCTGTTTGTAGAACAGGGATCTGGGGGGTGTTGGTTGACAGCTGGCTGAAAGTGAGCCATCTGGAGCACAAGTCTTGTAGTGGCGAAGGAAACTGGGATTGTTCACTGTGGAGATGAGGAGGTTTAGGGAAGACCTTATTACTCTCTACAGATCCCTGAGAGGAAGTTGTGGTGAGGTGGAAGTCAGCCTCTTCTCCCAGGTAACAACGATTCTCCAGCAACTGCCCACAGCCATGGGCTCTGGCATCAAACAGCACATGAAGGACTCGGGCTTGCTCTCTTTTTAGGAAGAGGAAGAGCACCATGAGAGCTGCTGCCCTGGCTGCTGTGAATGCCTGGGCTGCACAGCTGAGCATCTTGGAGTTGGAATGGGCAGAACCTGACAGAAGATCTCGGTGAGGACATGCATTTCCAGAAGGAAGAGCTGGTGCAGTGGCTGGCTGAACATCTGCCCACCCTCT